ACAATATATAATTACTAATAATATCCAATTCATATAATTAAAAGATAACTTAATTTCTAGCTCTTCGTCAGGAAACACTATCATTTACTATACAAAGAACAAATATACATATGTATAGCAAATTGTATAGCAATTGATCTTCACTTATAACAAAACTTTCAGATTTCATTAAAATCTAATAAATAAATTAAATATAAACAAAATGAACATAGATAATTGAAACATAAAATAATTGAATAAGCTATTATATATTGATAGCCATTATAATTTAAAAGTGCAAACATGGTATAGGGTTTTGTTGATATATGGTTCATAGATCATCCAGATCATATTTTAAAATATCTGTTAAAAAATTATCTGGATATTTAAAAAAATTGATTGGTTAAAAAATCAATACCAGAAAATTGTTTGGGTAAAATATCCATATAATCTCAACCTTACACAATTTACACAAATGGACAAAAACGATAACGGTTTGATGTCGGCAGCTGATCTAGGCCTTACAATAAGTTTGTGCATCTTTATACACAAACTTAAATTAGAATAATCTCAGCCACTGAAATCAGTTTGTTGTAAGTTAATATGTAAGTATATAACCATGGTTATATGTAAATATATACCATGAAATTACTATGAAAAATAGGATAGAGCAACAAAAAAACAAATAAAACACAAATATAAGATAAAATTATATATTTTATTTAAATAAATTAATCTGAATCAGTTGATTCATGCAATAAATTGGATTGGTTGAGCTTCCGACGTTTTTTGTGTACTGACAATTCACCGTGAGCAGCATCTAAAAAAGGTATAAAATTAAATTTGAACATATCAATAATAGCAATATGATATAAATCACAACATAGTTTTCAATTTAGAAACATAGAAATCAACGTGACTTCCAATTTTGATTTTGGAGAACAAAGCAATTATTTTATATTTCTAATATATAAATTATTATATTTATAATTAAATAAAAAGTTACTTTGGCACTTTGGACCAGGATGTTCATTGTCAAAATCTTTATTATTTTTTGCAATAATCAAGTCATTGCATTCAACAGCTTCTATAGAAATTAAAAATATATATATATATATAAATATATATATATATATATAAATATATATATATACATATATATATATATATATATATATATATATATATATATATATATATATATATATATATATATATATATATATATATATATATAATATATATATATATATATATATATATATATATATATATATATATATATATATATATATATATATATATATATATATATATATATATATATATATATATATATATATATATATATATATATATGTATATTTTACCATACCATACCAATTATTCATACCAAGGATTCATACATAGAAATACATAAATACATTAATATATACAGCATTTTAAAAATAGTCATGATTTCAAATAACCAATAAAAACAACATTTCATAAAATACTTATACCTTTAGGAACTTTAGAATATCGCCTTGCAGCCCTTCCACCATTCTTGTCCTTTGCATTATGCAAAAATCGTTTGATGCGCAACTCTACAACATTGCGAGTTTCATTTGGAAAATTTGTCAAAACGCAGTCCTTTATGAATTTCTCTAACTTCACTGGAAGTTTTAATTTACCATTTTTCCCACTTCGATTAAGTTGTTTTGCCAAATCAATTGATAAAAGGAGATTTAATAAACGCTCACAAAGATCATTGGAATCACGGCCACCTTCTTGGAGCATCCACTGAAATATTTTATCAGATAAAACAATATCTGCATTTGCTAGATCATCCGGAGTGCAAAACAAAGGAACTTTTCTTTGTTCGCTTTTTAATAATGGTATTGCTTTCACTGTTGAATGCGTCAAGCTGTCCAGCCGTTGTGAAATAAGAGCTAATTTTTGCAAAATGACAGCTTGACCATATCGCACAGCTTAGACTGTGTCAGAATCGATGCCTGCATCGTTGCAAAGAACATTGAGCTCATGGAGCACAGCATGAGTACTATTTGCTTGTTTTGTTTTTGGACCATCTGACGCTGACACTTTACAGGCCAAAGGTTTAAAAGACTTAGAAATAATTGAAGATGAGACTTGTAATTGGTTTTTATCAACATGTTGGATAGAAGATGTTGGTGTAAATATATGCATTGGGACTAAAGGTGGAGAACAAAGTGGAGGTATTGGTTCACTAACTTTAACAGCTA